TAAGCCAGGCGCTGCAGTATCTATACATCTTGCAGTATTCTTCAACTAACTTCGATATAAAACACAGAATTTGAATTAGTTAATTATGCTAATGGCTTAGTGTTATTTACGCCAATAATATCGGTCGTAAATTACAAGAAACGCAATTAAAGTAACATCAATCCACAACAAGAGAAATTATTCATACTTAAAATGCAGCTAAAATGCTAAATGTTACATGTTAAATTGAGATTAATGTTTTCAGCAGCATAAACAAACATATTATATAAAATATTGCAATTAATCTTACTTAATTCTTACTTAACCTGCTTCCATGGACCGTGGACTTAATATTATTGCAACTAGCTTATTACCTAGCAGAATAGCAAGAGTCCTTCCACAGCACATGCGAGGTTCGTTTACATGATGGTGGTAACATAAGTCATGGCCTCCTCAGGGCGAGCGTTCCTAAGGAGGCCAAGGGACAGGGACACTACTGTGGGTTGCAAATAGCACAGAGAAGCAACAGTAGCTAGCTAGAACATGCGAGAGCGGTAGACTGCGTCAGATGTCAGTGTGTAGCTGTGTGACACAACAGCTGTCTTGTCGTGTCGGTTGTCAAACTGCTGTAAAAGTGGTGGCAACAGAATATAGTGCTAAACTGTCTTTCCGTAATTACCACCAATTTTACTATAATCTGCCATAATTCAATTTTGGAACAATCCATATTAACGACTTGCTGTAGCTCTTCTAACCGAGGGCCATCTTTGAACTATGGCAGTTTACATATTATTAAAAGAAAAGAACAGAGCTGATCCAAATAAGAACAACATCAACAATGATGGCGACAACAATTACAATAAATAATGAAAATTATATTGCAGATAAAAATGAATCCATGGACGGCATTCCTTTAGTAATGATCTCCATTGCGGTCGGATGAGGAGTCGGAGAGTGAGGAGTAATGCTAGACATACTCGGTACTGTAGCTCTCTACGTCTTTCCTGCTAAGTGATACAGAACCGCGACTGACAGCCGAAATCAGGGTTTACATATGTTACATGATTTTAAACTGGTTTTCATAAGCGAAAACTACTCTTCAAGTAGGCTCCCTTTATTAACTTCGTAGTGTAGACAGCCTGTTATACGAAGGGCTATACAGATTCATTTTGTGATCTTATGGGTTGTGACACCATGCAGACTGGTAGATGGTTACCAGCACATCGGGTGAAGATACTCTCTCCACGGACCAGGGTAACTCAAGCAGGAACGCAACTAACTTGCTTTCGGGAGGTGTTCACTGGGATTCTTCGTGGTTTATCTCAGTTCCTTCAGGTAAATGCAGAGATAGTACCTCACATTAGCCCGCAATCATTTTCTTCAATAAAATTTCCAAGCTATTATTAAATATTATACAATTTTAGATAAAGAAAGAACCGTCAAGAAATTATAAACAAGAAGCAGAAGTAAAAATATAAAGTTGTCCCTGCGCTTAACTAACTAAACATTACGCCATGGAGGCGTATGTGGGAGTGTATGTATTTATCCATATTTTCTTGACCTCGGCACTAGTTGGAGGTGAGTGGTCAGCTTCACGCTTCGGCCGATTTACTCTCGGGGAAAGAGCACCCGGTATCCATTGGATAGGAGGTTGGGTGGACCCCAGAGTCGGTCTGGACGAAGTGTAGGAGAAAATTTTGTGACCTTACTGAGACTCGAACTCCGACTCCTCGGTCGTCCAGTCCGTAGCCCGGCTCTTCCATAAATAAGACATTCTGGTAAGAGCTCATCTCCTACTTCCCTTTGATACGAAACGGACAGCACAGAAAACGACCCCTCAAACAATTCGTTACCGCGGGAAAGTGTTTACCTAGCCATTGCGTAACAAATGTTGGGGGGATATGCAGCCACACAGGCGGATGGGAGGGATTTATGAAGTACGACTTTGAGATGGCTCTTGTAATATGATGTACATACCAAACTACATAAAGATTTGTTCTAGCATTCAAATTTGATAAGGGAGATACACACACGCATGGTGTTCTCATAAGCCTACTTTTATTTCTCCAAAATAAGGACAGTAGGCTGATGAAAAATGATGCATGTTCATGTAGTATTCTATAGACTGAGAGAGCGAGTTCCTTCGAGAGGCTTGTCACCGCGTATCAGACCATGGGTCACAGCCCAGAAGACCACTGCATTCATCGTTGTCACCGTGAGGAACTCAGATCTCGTGTAATGTTGGAGAGAGACCACTGACGAGCTTTTGTGGACTCTGTGATCTGAGTGTTCCATCAAAGGGGGTGCCGGGTAAACGACTATTAGCGTTTCAAGAAGAATTATGCTCCGTGGAGTTGGTGGCATGAGCAACAGTACCGCGAACGTCCGGATTTGGTCTGTCACGTTCTCAGGTGACGTTCTGACCGGGGTGATGAGGTGATGCAGAGATGTTGGAGTAGTAGATGTAGTTAGAAGATGTAGTGCACGCTCGCTACCCCCGCTCAGGGCCCATCACCTGGTTCACTGTACACGTGTACACTCAGTTCACAGCCAAATGGAACACTTTGCCAAATATGCTGCCAAAGTCTGTGCGCTAAATATAATATAAAATTATGTATGGATCACATATGAAATATAATTTTAGAATATTTTTTGCCTTAAATTTTGATGGCTGTGTGAACGTGTGTAAACCAGGAGGGTTATGAGAGGTTTCCATTTCTGAATGGAACTGAATGTACACATAAAACAGTACAAACAACTACAAACACAGTCGAACAGATTTGTTTTCTTTGTTTTGTTAGTCGTGTCACCCAACACAATCTCTGTTACTTATAAGATACGGAAATACGTATGTAGACTGAATCACGGAATAACTTCGGCTTCATTTCCGATGATCTGTTACGAATTTTGTATCTGTCTCAGGTACAAGTAAGCAGAACATTTCGATTTTATCAGATTGACGAGGACTGAACTGCTTTCCAAGTCCCGTTGGTGTGGGCAATAAATATTGAAGGAATTATTTTGCGTTTCAGAGGTTGGCAACTCACCGCTAAGCCCTTCATTGTGCAGTATTGATGAGAGAATTATAACAACGTAGGTTGTATTGCCCTCAGTATTATTGTATGTCGCAGAAGGAAAGTTACAGCCTGAAGTTCTGAATTAAGTAATTTTTAATCTAAGTACCACAAATTGTAAAGTAAAATTACAGAACACAGTGCAAAGTAATATAACAATGCTTTCCAATTTTCACTTGGACGAACTCCAGAATGCAAGTTCTTTTAAACATTAAGTTTCCTTCCTGTGTAGGGAACTGTGTCATTTGTGTTACAGTTTATTATTAACGTTATTTCGCACACTAACTTTCAAACACTGTCAGGAATAATTATTTCTATTTAAGAAATTTATTATTTTTAGCAATTTTCTTAAATGCAAATATTACGTTCTGGTATGAAGGAGGATGTGAAACTTCGGTAGAGATGCTGTTGGGTTCGCGACAGTTCAGTAGTACGATGCTTGCAGTGTGCCATGCAGTCATTGATAAGAATCATTCAGGAACGCTGTACGGTTCCCTTGGAATACAACAAGCTGTCGGGGAGAAATAAACATTAGTTTTCTGAATGAGAGAGACTGCCTGAAGAAACCGAAAACCACACTCACAAATCACAGTGTTGTGTGTAATGTAGTACTACGTATGCAATTTGTGCAGTTGGTACCATTTCTTACACCATTACTATCCTCATATTTCAGCAAATTCAAACTATAATACAATTTATAATTTCTTGTGAGATATGAATAAATGAAACAATTTCTAAAATATATTTTGTAAGTACAGAGTACTGAAGACTACTGAGAATTACGAAGGTTGTAATCAGGGCTCAGTGAAAGACATTCCTAGTTTAATTGGATTTGTAAAATTGAAATGGAGCTTTCTACTGCGACATGGATTGTCAATGAATAGGTCGCATATTATATAACCCTTATTTTCTTAATTTCGTCTGTAGAAATATTCCTGTAAGAAGTACCGCAAAAACGTGTGAGGACGTTAATGCAATATTATCTGAAATAAGGAGATAAGAGAGAATAATTCATCATTTAAAATAAGAAGATTGGCCTTGAAACAATAGCTGTAAAGGAAATTTTGAGAATAAAATAAAAAATGCAAGGAAATATACTTCAGAAAGTATGACAAAGCCAGGAGACAAGAGTCCTCGTGCTTCCTACCATTGAAGTTAAGTACTTAAAAGAAAAACTTATTATTATCAATGTTCATCCGTTACAAGTTTTACTTTCTTTTCTTTTGTCACTTAGATTCAATGGCTCTTTTCGCTTGTCTGTGTGTCTTCTGCAGTATTTACCATCCTTTTCAGCGTGCCAGTGTGGCACCAGCCTTCTTTATGTACGTTCTTGCTAGCCATTCTAAGCTCATTGACTTCAGTAGTGATTTGTGTATATGTGATAAATTCAGTGGGATATTGTGTTTGAGTGTGATTTCCGGAAAACTATGGCCGATGTTCATAGGAACGGAATAATCCATTGCAGCTGAGGACTCCGAGGTCTTGTAACCCGGGTTTATGGGATCGGGAAGGGACACAATCTCATGAACACCCCACTGTTCGGTATTGTTAACGTCATTCATTTTCTATCATTAATAAATTCGCTGAAAAATGTAACAGTGGGTTATCCTAGAGTTTATTCAAGATTTGGAATGGTCAACTGCAGTAACTATATTCTTAAATCTGCATGAAATGTTGTTGGTGTTTCAGCCCGTTTCCGGCATGAAGAGCACTGTACAAATCATGCTGAGTGTCGTGTTTGACTCCAGTACCACGTACATAGAGTGTTCTTGCTACGTTGACCATCACTGGGTAGGGAAAGGGCGTTGAAACGGAAGGAAGAAAAGTTAATATCTTATAACTTAATATAAGACCTTATCCTTGTTATTTTATATGAACCTTGTTTGTATAATCACATCCATTTTCAAAACACATTATGGTTTTGACTTATAAATGGGTTTTAAGTACCATCAACACTTCGGACACCGAGCTGATGCTAAGGACGTACATTGTGACTCCAACCTCCACGGGTGGACCTGTAAAGCAGCACAATTAACCATAGGCGTGACTACATGTAAGGAACTAGCACACACAAACACACACGTAACAGTTTGCGGCGGCAGTGAGTGGTATGGGACCCAACACTCGGAGCCAACTATTATCCTCTGGGCAGACATTTTTAAGTCTACACCTAATAGTAATGATGCTGTCATCAAGATATCTCTATTCTCTTGTAGTCATCATGGCTGGCTTTCTTTAAAAAATCGCGCACACTTCTGTATATGAATTAGTACATTTTCTGGGAGACACTATAAAAGTCTTGTAGCCAACAATAGACATTCCACGTCGATAGATATACACGTATTTATTGGTATTTCTGTTATGGGCACCACAATCGTTATTGAACTAGTATATGTTTACGGTTGCTTTATTCTTTGTTATTAGTTTTGTCTGTTACATTCCTTATTGCCTTTTTCAAACACAGGAACTTATTTTTTTCGTGAAACACTTAAATACTCTTAAATAATTAGATAAATCGACATGCAAGGTATTTAAAGAAAGCCAACATCTTATAATTCGAGACGGAATATTAAGAAACATATCCACATGAATTTGTAACTTAGTACCTAAAGCAAAGAGGGTTATTGCAGCAGTTCTATAGAATAATTGGCTAAGAGAGTTGGGGGCCAGCAAGCGTTCTGCTGAAACTTACAATAGGTAAAAACAACACATTACATTTGCAGTGAATATTTCTGGAGCGTGCGGACGTTTCTGTAACAGAGCGTGATTATGTGAACCTAGGCCATCATTATAGTAACATGTGATCAAAACCACAGTCATAATGAACAGTAACAGAAGAACCAAACAAACATACGATGGAAGTGGGGTGTGAGGAGGGAGCGTGTGGCAGGTCAAGTCTGCTTGTCATGTGCAGTGTGTCTTGTCACGCTGTGTCGGAGCAAGCTTGCGTGTGGCCGGCCACAACGTCTCGTTTGTAATGTCACATAACTCAGCGTGAAAATATAAACAGGGATAGAAATATATTCACAAAAATCGGGGTCAATTTCTATTCAACCGAGCTTGAAAAATTGGCCTCAGGAAATGACAAAGAAAGACCCCGCATCTCTGAATAGAGAAATGTAAAAGTATAAGATTTTGATGGATACTGATTTTGTGTTGTCCGTGATTCATGGGGCGTGATTTGAATAGTTCGTGAGAGAACTGCACATTATATAAAACTTGGTTCATGAGAAAAAGACCCCGTTTTTCTTTTTGTGTATCTGATGATTGAACGCCCACAAATAACATGCGCTATGTCGGTTTGAACAGAAAAGTAGAATATAGGAAAGACTTGGTTGAGGAGAATATAAAAGGAAAGAAAAATAACATGAAAGAAATAGATAAATATAAGTTCTTAACAGGAAAATTGGTTCAAAAATATATATAACAAATATCTAATGGTTTCAAAATGGTGGATGCTGAACAGTAAAGGCGTCTAGTACCATTTTCACTTCAGAGAGGGAGCTGATACTCAGCACGTACATGGTGATCCCGACTTCAACGGGCGTACCTGCAAAATATAACATCACACATGCAGGGCCAAAGACATCATACAAACGCAATGCCGGATAAATGTGCCTTTGCTTCCTAGCAAATCTGCTAATTAACATTTTATGAAATCAATATAATTATGTGTATTAAAATTACACATATATAAAAACATCTGTCCTGTCGTGAAAAACCACAAGTACATTATATGACACAATCCTCATAATAAATTTGTGTCTCATGCAATACATTCACTGCAGTTTCTGAACTGCAGTATAATTAATATTTTCGATCATCTGTCGTTTATATTCAAAGCTATTTAACATTAAAACCATGTTGAGACATGTCAACGTGTAATAAATATTAGTATCCTATTCACAGAGGCACTCCTGTCTCATTGGAAACAATATTTTTATTTTATAATTAATCTTGTATTCCGTTTGATTTGTACATTATATAATACAATCATTTTGAAACTGTACACCTAAAACTCTCTTGATTTTTACATTAACCAGCAGAATGATTCATAGAAATGCAGTCAGTGATTTTTAGCCGGAGTTGAAAAGCTTTTCTTTCCAAGCTATGAATATTATGATATGTTATAATTATCAGGAGCAACAGCATCGCTGAAGCTGATATCAGGTCCTCTGTTTGTGATATCGTAATGTTAAGTTACTTCTGTCATCCATTAAGGCATTTGTTAAAATGCACTTGCGAAATTTACTATTATATACGAAACTTCCTTATTTCTTATTAAATTTAGTTTTACATAACACTGCCACAGATAAATACATTTCACTTTCTCGTGTGTAAGGTATACTGCTCAAGGTAAGCTGCAACGTTCTGCTTGAAGTTTGGGACATTAATATTCATTTTAAAATTTTGTCGCAATTAAGATTTTGTACGCAACCTAACATTATTTTTTATTAATGCACTTTAGATATCTGAATATTTTAAAACTTAAATGGAATTTGAATATGTTTAATATAACAATTAAACATATAAATATCAAAATTCAACGAATAATAGGATGAAGTTGACATTCTAAGGGCAATAATTTTTTTATAATTAATATTAACATAGATAATAGATAGTTTTCTGAAGATCAGGTAAAATTCTTTACTTCATCGTCCACTTAATATAGGAAATTAAAGTTATAGCTGGAGTTACTTTGCCCGGAAACCAATATTGTGTCTTATATTGAAATTATTTGATCTAAAAATATATTACTTAATAATGGTTTCGTGTAGTGACGTGTATATTTATTATCTTACTTTTGCTACTTCCGAATACTTCTGTGGAGAATATTCAGAGAATGGCGTAGATTTTTCCGTAATTTTCAGATTCGCGCAAACAGTTAGTATGAAGCACCTTGTCGCAAAACAGAGCATTAAATTGGCATCTGAAGACCGCGTGAGGAGAGCAACAGAGCGTGGTTGCGTCGTGTGATCCACACCATTAACGTCACTAATCAAATTAACAAAATGCGCATGCACAAACGGAATGAGCGAGCGAGTGAAGTCACGACATGCTGGCTTAGCGACTGGCTGTCGTCACAAGACCTGACTGAGGTATTGTTCTGGCTGGATGAACAGTTTCACTTGATTATTGTTCAAGAGAGAGATTCCTTCGACTGGTAAAACTCCTCTGCATTTGGTCGCAGGGCATTCATTATTCAGATTTGCTACTCTAATTCACACCAAATTTAGAAACGAATATTTGTATAAATCTTGATATTTATTCGAATCTGAACGTGGCCTATCTTTCTCACATTATTCTGGCCTTACGAATCTTTTAATAAGTTTCGTTCCTCCTCTCGTTTGGAACGGCACTGTTATCTTATCATCTTTTATTGTTGTTCAGTATCTTGTAACCACTATGAATTAATACACACAGCTGTGAAGCAGCTATGTAGATACATAAGTTAATAAAGTCATTATTTAGTAAATAACTGAAACATGAGAATAAGATATGTTCTCTTAGTATCGCTAATTAAACTTTTAAGGGGCGACATTTTGAATCGTTGAATACCGAAGTCATTCAGAATTTCAGAAATTAAAATAAGTTTAAATTCACGAAAAACATTTAATCGATTCGGTGAAAGGTACCGACAGTCGAATTAGGGAACTAGTTCGAAAGGAAACTTAGATGACTAACCAGATAAGCTGACTAATATTATCTCATCTCTATTTTGAATAAAATAGTTATATGTGTGAGACGTTTGACAAAAGTACAATAAGCCGATAACGTAGCGTATTAAAAGTCACAAACCACCCAGAGAAATACCGGAATTCTTAAATCAAAATATAATATTTCAAGAGTACATTTTAGTAATGAAATATTTAAATGGATCACAACAATTTTATGAGTATCGACTGCTCTATAATGAAAGATTTGGGTCTATATTTCGAATAATTGTAAGTTCGACATCTGTTTTGAATTACTCATTACATCGGAACATGCATTAAAAATTCACGGAAAGTTTTTTTTTATTTTCAGTATTACAAAAAGTTAAACATTTCGTTGAAACAATAAAAGAATTTTCATCTCCTCTGTTAATATAATTTCTCGTTTATAACTACACCAGTAATAAAGCATCCAATATTAGTATGTTGTGCTGATTGGATGAACATTGAAATTTATGCTGAAACATGTTTGTAACAACACTTTTTTTTTTCACTGTTTCTCCATTACTTATACTTCAGTAAAATATAATTATAGAAGCTACATTGTTATTCTAAATTATTGTCGGAGTTTCTATGGCTTATAATTCTCAAACCGGTCAAAACAAAATAAAATTTCTTAAGAAATTAAAAGAAGTTAAAAGTTAAGAAGTTAAAAAGGATTATTTGGCAGAGAAGTGTTCACCGAAATTGATGTCTGGAAGAAAATATAAAATCATAATTCAAAATGGCGACTGTTCAAGGGAAAGCAAATATGGAGGTATACAGAACACAAAAATGAGATGATATGCGTTTATCTCCTTTTTCGTTGGGCGCTGAGGCAGTTATTCATACGTCATTTGTTGCCACTAATCCATTTATACTTACATTTATGAATTAAAATAACTCCTGTTTCTGAAGAGAATGGTAAGATTGTACAGAGGTCTCCATTTTTTATGTTCTTTTCTCAGAGAAACACAAGAATTTCAGACAATACTGAAAGAGACAAAAACACGTTCAGCTGCAATGCTAATGGCTACTCCTTCCTTCGATCGTGTTCCGCATGATAATTTTTTTCAAAATACTGCTAGCTTTTATTAAATTCATCATGGTATTGCTTCGGCACATTTCTCTACAATGGAATTATGTATTATCTAAATGGCGAAATTAAAATTTACGCACGAAGGAATTGAAAGTACACTTCTTAAGTTTCAGTTCATAACTCTTCGTATTCCCGTCGCTTATCTAAACACGTGAAGATATTGTATACAGAGCTAATTTTACCTGATGCTTTGTATAGCTTTGAAATGTGGTCTCTTAATGGA